TCTCTAGAATACATGTATAATGAGAACCCAAGTAGAACTTAGGTTCACATGAGGGGGCAGAGAAAACCGAAATCATTGTTTAACACTTGTTGAAATTTGTGGACAATTTACAAGTTGAAGTTAAACCGAAATCATTGCTTAAACACTTGTTGAAATTTGTGGACAATTTACAAGTTAAAATTAAGCCAAGGTTAAACACTTGTTAAAATTTTTTGAAAAAATTTATAAGATGAAACCAAGGTTATGCCAAGAAAAATACTGGGGTACTTTGTCGAGGTAAAACATCAGTTTGTATAACCGAGGTGTGTCACCCCCAAAAGATTGCACGAGGATTGACGTATATATTAAAGATATGCAAAAATATTCCAAGTATAAAGGCATACAAAGCAAGCATGCAACCATTCAAAAACAAAAGAGTTATTGTATTAAAAACACATCGGCAATGTGGAGAAGTTTACAGTACTTCAAAAAAGAAAAACAAAGTACAGGAAAAGAAGGGAAAAACATAAGGCTAAGACTCCTCAGCAGTAGCAGTTGGTTGAGTTTGAAGTTCAAACGATTGTTGGGAAGACATCTCAGCAGCCTTATCCGTCGCGAGTTTGGTGTCAATTTCTGCAAGAGTTTCATCTAGGCTCTTGTCGGCAAGGGGAACGACGGCCGATGTCTTCTCAGCCGCAACATCTTTTGGGACCTCTTCACCCTCCTCATCTTGAGTCAAGTCCACGACTTGCTCATTCAGAGAAGGGAACTTGGTCCCAGTAGTCTCCTTTGATTTCCTCACCAAAACTTCCTTCTCAACCTCATCCTCGAATCATAATTGTTGTCAGATTGACTGGGAGGTGGAGTTGGAGAGAATGACAGGGGAATGGCATTGGCGTTCCTCAAGAAGGAGTCTTCAGGGACATCAAGTTTCTTCAGCAAAGTCATACAACCAAAGGAGAAACCCTTGTTGCATGCTTGCTTGACTTGCTTTTCATAGGCCTCTGTGACATCGGTCATGCCCTGGGCATACGCCTTCTTGTCGGCATCCTTGATTTCGGCCTCTTTGGTGGCCAAGGTGTCTTGAAGTTCTTTTTGGGCCTGGGCCACTTTTTCCTCGGCTTCTCTCTTTTGGGCCTCAAGAACCTTCTTGATGGCCTCAGTTTGTATAACCGAGGTGTGTCACCCCGAGAAGATTGCATGAGGATTGAAGAATATATTAAAGATATGCAAAAACATTCCAAGTATGGAGGCATACAAAGCAAGCATGCAAGCATTCTAAAGCAAAAGAGTTGTTGTATTAAAAACACATTGGCAATGTGAAGAAGTTTACAGTACTTCAAAAAAAGAAAAACAAAGTACAGAAAAAGAAAGGAAAAACATAAGGCTAAGACTCCTCAGCAGTAGCAGTTGGTTGAGTTTGAAGTTCAGACGATTGTTGGGAAGACATCTCAGCAGCCTTATCTGCCGCGAGCTCGGCGTCAATTTCTGCAAGAGTTTCATCCAGGCTCTTGTCGGCAAGGGGAACGACAACCGATGTCCTCTCAGCCGCAGTATCTTTCGGGACCTCTTCACCCTCCTCATCTTGAGTCAAGTCCAGGACTTGCTCATTTAGAGAAGGGGACTTGGTCCCAGTAGTCTCTTTTGATTTCCTCACCAAAACTTCCTCCTTGGCCTCATCCTCAGAATCAGATTCGCTGTCAGATTGACTGGGGGGTGGAGTTGGAGGGAATGGCAGGGGAATGGCATCGGCGTTCCTCAAGGAGGAGTCCTCAGGGACATCAAGTTTCTTCAACAAAGTCATCCAACCAAGGGAGAAACCCTTGTTGCATGCTTGCTTGACTTGCTTTTCATAGGCCTCCGTGACATCGGCCATGCCCTGGGCATACGCCTTCTCGTTGGCGTCCTTGATTTCAACCTCTTTGGTGGCCAAGGCGTCTTGAAGCTCTTCTTGGGCCTGGGCCACTTTATCCTCGGCCTCTTTCAGCTGGGCTTGAAGGACTTTGTTTATCGCCTCAGCAGCACCAACCTTCTCCTCAGCTTCGTCTTTTGCTTTAATAGCGACCTCGGCCTGGTCCTCCAGGGTCTTCATCTTGGATTGCAAGTTTTTATTGGTTTTTTGAAGGCTGGAGACCTCCCTCTTCTTTTCGGCTAGCTTCTCACGGTTCTCAAAAGATTGAACTGAGAAAGAATGGGCGTGCTGGAAGTTGCTAGATAAAGATACTTACTTGAACGGAACGTTGAAGCATCAAAGCGTAATTTTCATACTCGCTCAACTCGGCGTTTCGGTCAAGATCGCTGGGGAGAAGCAGAGTAGTACTGAGGGCTACGCCGACGTTGATGTCCTCAGCGCTATCGTTGGCCATGACAGGCTTATCTTCCACAGTGATTGTGGGGGCCCAGGGGGCATCAGGCTTTTTAGGCCCCGAGGTCGTTGCAGAAGATGACCTCGGCCTTTTGGATTTGGTAGATTCAGATGGAAGTGTTTCAGTGGACCTCTTCGCAGGGACAGAGGCAGTTTTCTCACTCAGAGCTAGTTTGGAAATTGGCAAGGTATCCTCAGAATCAATTTGAGGCACCTTTGCCTTTGGCTGAGCCTTTTTGATTCGTTTTGGCTTTGAAAGAGGCTGGGTTTGTGTTGGCTGAGTGTCAACGTCAGAAGGAATGCTGGCTAAGAGATCTTTAGCAACCGATTTTTGGCGGCCCATCTCAGCAGCAATAACAAGTCGTCGACGACGTTTTCGTTGAGATAGTGGAATCAGGTATGGAGCCGAGGTTGAAGGTTGCTCAGCTGGATCAGAGGTTGATCCTTGGTTTGTCCGAGATGTGGACGCGGTTTGTGGAGTTGTGGCAGATGGTGGAGAAAGGCTTTTCTTCTTCTTTTTTGGGACGTCGGGGAGAGCTGACTTGTAAGTGGGGATAAAGTTGAGAAGCAGAAGGGCCTTCTGCTTGTGAACTGGTAAATTCAGTAGTTTCTTTAAGTCTTTGCTGGGAAAGAAAGACTGACGGAAGCCCTTTGGTGGCTGAGGAAGAACTGCAAAACAGAAAAAAGCATAGACATTAGAACAGAATGTTAAAAACTTTATACAAGAAAGTAAGAAAAATGTGTAAATGGTGGCCCTTACCAGCTCCTTCCCCGAAAACTGTACGACTTAAGGGATAAAGATGGAGGTCATCGTTTGGCTGAAACTCCCAGTTTCCCGAGACGATGAAGTAATCATCTCCTGCTCCCTTGTTGGAATCAGGGAGGTCGGCAAATGATTTTGTATTCAGTGGACCTCAGCTTAAGGTAATAAATATGACCTTTTTCTGATTTCAGGTGACACATGGTATAACAGTACTGGAAATCGGCAAGAGTTATCCTAGCACTCTCTTGTTTGGCTAAAGTTATGGTACCGTCAATAACTCGGTAAGAGTTGATGGCAAGTTGCATTGGGTTCAACTTATAGAAATGAAGGATTTGACGGAAAAAAGGGTCAAGTGGAAACCTAAGTCCACACTCAATAAACGCAACCACTGGGAAAGGCATGAGGTTTTCATTGGGCATGATAGAGTCATCCTCCCCAGCCAACCTCAGATGAACGTCGGCTGGGATTTCGAACTCCTGCCTAAAGTACCCTAATTTTTTTGGGGTATTTACCCTATGTTCCCACATACCCATGACGTCGGCTTAAATGGAGATATTGGATTTCAGGAAAAAGTATTTTTGGAGGGTTTAAAGGACCTTGGCTAAAAATCTACAAATATGCTATGATAAGGGTTTGTATGGATCTAGAAGGAATTTGTTTCAGTTTTTCCTAAAAATTGTGGGTTCTACAAACAAGTCCCAAACTTAAAGCTGTGGAGATGAAGATTGAAGGAACGAATCTGGAAAACAAAAAAACAGGGATCCGTTTCAGAAACAAGAATGGTGATGAAGACATCAAGAAATCAAGACAAAAAGATTGCACAAGTGTATCAGGCCAAGAATAGTGGCAGAAAGCAACAGGCATGTGAACAGTGCGAGTGTTCAAGACATGGACAAAGAGCAAAATTATGAAATAAACATGTTCAGATACATGATTCGCAAATCAAATATTCGAGTAAAATAGCAATGGCGACTAAATGATAAAACATAATTTCATGGAACACGACAAGAACTGTAAACCAGGAGGAATGGTGACTTAAGAAAAGAGGCCGATGCTTGAGATCGCCGAAATCAGAAGAACGGCGGCAGCAGAACAGATTGGCAAGAACTTTAACGGAAGAAATGGATGGAGCAAGTTGCAGAGCTTCAGAGCATGGAAAAATGGAGGATTAGAGGAAGCTAGAGAGAGAAAGAGTTCTGAATAAAGACAATGAAAAGTGAAAAAAACAAAAAGGGGAAACAAGTTTTGTCAAAAACTTGAAACGGCGACCAAAGAGGGCAATTAATGCGCCTGGAATAGCGAATGCGTCAGACGGCGCATGTAGGCGTGAAACGACTTATAAGCACGTCCAGAGTACGATCTAATAAGGAAAAAACATGTGGCTAAACGGTTGAGTTGTTATGTATAACAACTCATAGACAGCTCAGAGCTTGGAAAAATGGAGGATTAGAGGAAGCTAGAGAGAGAAAGAGTTCTGAATAAAGACAATGAAAAGTGAAAAAAACAAAAAGGGGAAACAAGTTTTGTCAAAAACTTGAAACGGCGACCAAAGAGGGCAATTAATGCGCCTGGAACAGCGAATGCGTCAGACGGCGCATGTATGCATGAAACGACTTATAAGCACGTTCAGAGTACGATCCAGTAAGGAGAAAACACGTGGTTAAACGGTTGAGTTGTTATGTATGACAGCTCATACGTGTGAAGGAGCTCTTGGAATTCTTGATCTTTAAGAAGACATATCGGCCTACGATGATGATCTCGGATTAAGCCGATGTACTAGCATGAGGTACTGATATAGGTTCCATCACCTCAGAATGTCGAGGTAATAGAACCTAGGGGGCAGTTGTGGGGTTATATTTTCTGAGTACCAACACGTGACTAAGGTGACGCCGACGTGTCAGCCGAGATGCCACGTGTCCTAGTCATGACGCCGAGGTTATCTTGGCGAGGCCGAGGTTACCTCCGAAGATATCGAAATCTGAGATAAGAGGATAAGGCACAAGAGTCCTGGAAAAGTAATAGAACCTAGGGGGCAGTTGTGGGGTTATATTTTCTGAGTACCAACACGTGACTAAGGTGACGCCGACGTGTCAGCCGAGATGCCACGTGTCCTGGTCATGACGCCGAGGTTATCTTGGCGAGGCCGAGGTTACCTCCGAAGATATCGGAATCTGAGATAAGCGGATAAGGCACAAGAGTCCTGGAAAATGGAAAGACTACAGTTGGGAAAGGATAAGGCTCTTAGGGACTTATCCCAATCCTACTGGGAGTCTAAGATTGATAGTAATCCTAAGTCCATTGAAGCTAGGCTCTTGTTGGGAAAAAGATTGAGTTAGCTATAAAAGAGAGGCACCCCCGTGGGTCTAAGGTACGCAATTTATATTCTGAATAGTAAGTTTAACGCTATTGATTATCTTTGAGAGATATACTGACTTGATCGTCGGAGTGCCCCCAGGTGGACGAACCACCGCCGGAATCTTCTTTTTCTGTTGCAGGTTAGTCAGGTGTCATCAATTCTGCCAGTGTTCTCCAGCTGAATACTGAGTTAGGCAGTGTGATCGGAAAATCACTCACACAAGGTGTGTGCAAAGCGAATAGAAGCTCCCGTGGCTTAATTAGGGACTGATCTGGGCTCTGGCTTGGGGACTTTTTCAAAAGCATGGTTGGAGTGTCAGTTGAGCAATATTCCAAGGCTTAGAGCATTCATACCAAATTTTTTAATTTGTTAGTTAAATTAAAGCTATTTTATTATTTTAATTACTCACCTTTTAACACCTACTATATTAAACTCTTTATTTTAATTTATTCTTATTAAATATTATTTTCTTATTATATTTGTTAGTCTTTCTTTTTTATTAAATTGATAAGTTACCAGCTAAACAATTTTTAAAAAAAGCAAAAAAAAAAAGGCCTTTGACCAGTTGACCGGCCAGACATCCGGTAACACACAAATAGCGATAAATAGTGCCTCGTTTGTTGTAACAAGTTACTGTAATCATCGTATATTTTAACGAGCTATAAGAGCATCTATATTAAGCTCTTCAAAATAATTTTTTAGCTAAAAACTTCAAAAAATCAACTCCATCAAACTCACTTACAGCTCGTCAAAATATACGATGGCTACAGTAACTCGTTACAACAAACGAGGCACTGTTCATCGCTATTTGTGTATTACCGGATGTCCGCCCGAAAGTCAGGCTGGTAAACTGGTCAACGGCCTTTTTTTTTTTCTTTGCTTTTTTTAAAAAATATTTGACTGGTAACTTATCAATTTAATAAAAAAGAAAGACTAACAAATATAATAAGAAAATAATATTTAATAAGAATAAATTAAAATAAAGAGTTTAATATAGTAGGTGTTAAAAGGTGAGTAATTAAAATAATAAAATAGCTTTAATTTAACTAAAAAATTAAAGAGTTTGGTGTGGATGCTCTAAGGGAGTTTGATGGAGTTGATTTTTTAAAATTTTTAGCTAAAAATTTATTTTAAAGAGTTTGATACAGATGCTCTTGTTTCAGAGTTGTGGTGGAATTTGATGTCCAAGTTGCCATTGAGCTTATCGATCACTCCAGTCAAGCGCATCCGGAGCATAATATTGTGATGGAAATTTGTAGGCTCATTGCAAGGAATTGGAACTGCTCCTTGCAATTTGTGTGTCATGAATGAATGTTTGTGCGGATGCAATGGCGGCAAAAGGCCTAAGAGCCATGATGGAGTTGCAAGTTGTTCACACCCCTCCCTTGTCAATTCGACCCTTGTTAGTCTGGGATGAATAATGATATATACTTCTAATTTGAGAGTTCTAAATGGAGCATTAGTGAGGTGAAAGAGAGAGACAGTAGAGAGAGAGATAGAGAGAGGAGTGTGAGCACCACCTTCACATGGGTACACTCCACATCATTTGAGTTACATTAGAACTCTCAAATTAGAGCTCTCAAACATTATTGGTCTGGGATTTAGCCGATTGTCTTAGTTTCTTCTTCTTGTGTTTTGACCTTAGGGCCTCAATTCCATCAAATATATATATATATATAAAATAAAGATTGAGAGTTCTAATTTTAAAATTTTAAAGAGAGCTCTAGTGATGTGACAAGAAATAAGGCCCATATGTGATATAATGTGTATATCTATGTTTTTTTTTTTTTTTTTTTTTTACATCACTAGAGCTCTCTTTAAAATTTTAAAATTATAACTCTCTATCATTGTCAATATATATATAGCTACTGACATTTAATTA